TGAGAAATCTAAGATGGAGATAGTAATGCTTGAAAAGGAATATGAGATGAAAAATGAAAATAGATGAAATTTTGGTTCCATGTAATTTTTTTCAAATTTTTTTTTTGAAGTATGAGATGGAAGATGTAAATGTAATGAACATGGATGAAATTTCATTCATTTTTTTTCTCTTTTTTTTTTTTTTTTGAAATTTTGTGAAATATGAGATGAAAATGAAATGGAGAATGTCACATGAAATGAAAACATATTTTGTGATGCATGGGATGGAAAATGCAATGTAATGAACGTACGACATGTGAAATGTTGATGACATGTAAAACAATTATGCAAATTTTTTTTTTTTAATGATGTATGGAATAGAAAGTGAAAATGCCAAAGTGCATGGTGTCATGTAGTATTGAGTAGAAAGTGAAAGGCAAAGTGCGTGAATGAACGTGATGGATGTCATGATATTGGACATGGTTGACTCAATGAATACCTGCAAGTGTAGAAAGTAAGGTAAGATGTAAAATGCCCCCTTGTGTATCTAGACACAGGGAATCCTAACCTCACTGGTGGCTTTCTAGGCTGACAAGTCCTATGGGTGGTTTCTCTTTAAGTTCACTGCATGCTTTCCTAAAGGACATTAGCCCTTCTCAACCATTTATCTTTTCAGAATCGATGGGAGATATTTCCAAATGCTAATACACATGATGATATTCCATCATCAGGTGTTGTATTAACCAATGGAAACAACCTAACGAGAATCAATCTTACTCCTCAAAGCGGGAAGAATTGCTTTTCCAAGCCAAATTCATAAGGATTCCAGACTAGAGGTCGGGTTCACCTCAGACACGGACCTAATGCAAAATGAGAGTGAGTGTGTGCAAGGGGCATGACACTAAAAGCAACCATAAAAAAGCAACACATATTTCACAAGCAGCAAATAAAAAATGTAAAACACGCCGCAACAAATATAACACCCACAAACAAACCTACTTACAAGCAGGAAGGAACTCACCTCGTACTCCCATGCCAAATGCAAAAGATTAGTACATTCACATACAAGCAAGGAAGCATGTAAGCATGATGCATGATGAATAAGCATGTAACATCAGTGATGCATGAGCACGTGAGATAATATGATGCATGAACAAGTGAGCAAGATATGATGCATGCCAAGATGTAGCCAAATAACTACTCAAAAGCAAAATAGTAAAGCAACCATCAAAACAACAAGAAAGAAAGAACAAACAAGAAGCACATGCAATGAGTAGCAAAGGTCCACAAAGACTCAACAAACAAAAGAAAAAAATCAAAAGCTGAAAAATTCCCCAAAGTTAAAGTATTAACTCGACCCTCGTGAATCCAGAACATGAAAACCAGAGCTTCTGGATTCAGTCCCCAGTGGAGTCGCCAAATTGTTGACGACCGCTTAAAAATGGGATTAAGTGTGAAAATATTAAAAGGATAAGGGAGTCGCTACTCGTCCAAATTATAAGGTGGGACAACTCACCTAAAACAAGTCTGCGCAAAGATCGAGGTTCGGGGGTTCGGTTAGGAGTGAGGAAGGGTATATGCGCACCTCACAATCCTCCGCTTAAACGCGGTTGCATACTTTAAAATTGGGGTTTTAATTCAACTTATTTATTATGTTTATGTTTGAATCTAAAAAAAAAAAAAGGCAAACTCAAAAAAAAGATAAACCGAATCAAACATTTTTTTTTGGACTGAAATAGACAAACAAGAACAATCAAGAACATGCATGCAAAATGACATGAACAAGGAGTTAAGGGACTAACTTGATTAAATTCGAAAATATGAAGGACTGATTTAAAAAGATTTGAAACATGTGGACTAAATCGTTTAATCATAAAACTTGCGGATGAAATTGAGATAAAATAAAAGATATCTTTGACTTTGACCAAGATTAAAGTTAATTAAAAGTTAAAATTAATTAATCAAAATAATTAACTTAACATTAATTAAAATTAATTAAAATTAATTAATCACATTTACTCATCTTTAAGATAATCAAATAAATTTAATTATCTCAAATTAAATTTTCATAACTATGATTAATTT